GTCCATTACTAAATCAATTTCTAAGAAAAATTTGTTTCCTTCAAATTTTTAAACATTTGTTACATTAACACGATCGTAAACACGCCAACATTGTAGGGACATTGTCATCTTCATTGTCATCTTCTTCTTCATCATCACCTTCTTCTTCTTCTTCATCATCATCTTCTTTTTCTTCATCATCACCATCATGTTGCTTGCCGCTTCTGGATTCTTTTTGAAATTTTTGTTATCTTTTTGGTATTGTTCTTTTGTTGTTGTTGTTGTTGTTTTTGTTGTGTTGTTAATAAAAAATAATAGTAATATTGATGTTATTATTATATTTATTGTTGTTGTTGTTTGTTATTTTCATTCAAGTGTCTGCTACTAAAAGATCTTCTAGTGTTATTTAGTCGTTTAATTGCAGTTTATGTTTAAAAACAAAAACAACAACAACAATTAATAACAACAATAACAGCAACAAACTAATGTGCACAATATGTCCTGGTTATGTTAAGTCATTTTAAGTAGCTCGTACTACTGCTACTACTTCTACTACTACAAAAGTTACTACTACTACTACTAATTAATAATAATAATAATAATTATTATTATTATTATATTATTATTGAATTATTTGAATCCATGATCGCGACATTTTCAATGACTCCTATGTCCATTTGACAAAAACATAATTCGATCTTCAAAACGTAATTATGTTAAATGTGTTTTCTGTGTATGTGTGTATATGCATAAATGTGTGTGTGTGCATTTATATTTGTATGTTTGAGTGTGTATGTACGTGTGTGTGTGTTTGTATTTAAGGGCATTGGGCTCACAAGTAAATAATTCTGATATGATGCGTGTGACTCTTCTTATAAATCATTCATCTCTTTTCATCTTTTTGCATTTGTATGATATTATTGATAACGGCATGTATGTATGTGTGTGTATGTTTGTATGTACGTGGATGTGTTTGTATGTTCGTACAATGTATGTTTATGTATATGTGTGTATGTATGTATTTAAAATGTATGTTTATGTAGGTATGTTTGTAAATAAGTTCATGGTTCTAGATACAGACGATGTAAAATATTTTTACTCTAAAGAAGTATTCCGTCTACCAATGAGCCATCATTGAAAGTATTTTCCTACAAGCATTTCAACTTTTTATCTTCATTATTACCATTATTATGATTTTTATTATTATTGTGATTATTATTATTATTATGATTATTATTATTATTTGCTTGATGCAGACGACGATTACGATGGTATGTTAACAAATTGATCCTGTCAAAAGCATTTTTGTGATTAGGAGTTTTTTATTGTCTGCTAATATTAAGAAATCGCAGAATTAATATCCTTCTATATATAGACAGATAAGAATCATCTTTTGTTTTGTTTCATTCATTTGTTTGACACGAAAACAAAATGCAATAGAGCAAGGGTCGGCAAACGTTTTGCTATGAGGGCCGCATTGAAAACTATTCTATCTTTGAAGGGCCGCATATGTACTTAAAGAGCAAATTTTTTCGACTCGGGAGAGAATTTTTTAAAATTTTTGGTTCCTTCTTTTTGTTCATAATGTCCGGCTGACGACCTTGGCGAACAGACCAGACAGGGGCTCGCGGGTTAGGGCCGTGGGCCGTAATTCGTCCGCCACTGTAATAAAGACTTATGCATAAGTATTTCCATGTTTTTAATTTTTATTAATTGTTTTTACATTAGTTTTCATTATTTTTCTTTTAATGGTTATGAATTTTTCAATTTCTGAACAATTTAATAGACAAAAAAGAAATATAAATCATAATTTTCAGCCACAAAAAGCTTTTCATTTATTTTTCATGAGTTTATTTCAAATATTTTAAAAATTTGAAGTATTTTTCATTTTTTAAAGCAAAATTTCAGAGCAATTTATTGTTTTCTCTTTCTGATATCTATCCAGGTAAAGCCTTGGGTAAAAATTTTTTTCCAATCCACAACATATTTTTTAGCTTAGATTTACTTTTAATTTTTTTATGAAACAAATTTTTTTAAAATGCAAAATTGAGCCTAATTGAGGCGTTTTAGAATTTCAAAATGGTATTAAATATTTAATGGTCGGTCTCGGAACAAAATGTTGTTCGTAAAATGAACTTCTGACATCTTCAAATTATTTTACTCGGTTGAAAATATGTCAATTTTCTTTAAAAGGTGACGAATTATGAAAACTCATGTGCTGTCAGCTGATCATAATAAAGCTCATAAACAACGCCAACCAAGCCAGCCAGAGTCAGTAATTACGAATTACTAACCTATAAACTTATATTTTCAAATTAGTGATTTTTGTAGGTGAAATCAGTGAAATGACATTTAGATCATCTGAAGTTGAAGGCATTATAACTATGTATGTATAATATAAGAAAGAGATTTGTTATTGACTGGCTGTGTACAATTAAGAAGTAATTAATTAATTAAATCAGTATTATAAATATATATACTATACTCATTTTTTGTGTTTTACTTATGTTCTTTATCATTGTTACTAACTCAAAATATGTATTTTGACATTGTTATTATATTATCAAACAAAATATTTAGTTTTTCCAAATACCAACTGCTTTAAATATTTGACATATAGATGCATGATTGTTCAATTTTTCATGTGTTCAAAAATGTTATTTAGTTGAATATTCAGTCATTTATTTATTCATTCATTCATTTGTACATACATTCATTCTTTCATTCAGCAGTTTTTAAATTTATTATTCATGCATCCCTCCAGCATACTATCAAAATGAGATCAGATTAAAAGACAGCATGAGATGATTTATTTCCATTGTTCATTTACTACTCCTTAACATATGCATGCATGCTTTCATTGTTCGACTCTCTCTTCTCCCTCTCTCTTCCCTCTCTCTCTCTCTCTCTCTCTCTCCTCTCTGTCTCTCTCTGTCTCTCTCTGTCTCTCTCTGTCTCTCTCTGTCTCTCTCTCTCTCTCTCTCTCTCTCTCTCTCTC